GAAGTCGTTAATGAGCGGAAGGGTGACGATTAAAATGGGGGTGGCAATGGTGAGGAGGGCGCCTTTGCTCAAGAGGATGACACGAACAGGAGGGCGTCTGTGCGGAGGGCGCTGGTCAACAGGCAGGTACCAGTGGATAGGAGGGCGGTGATCAACAGGAGGGTGCCAGTGGTTAGGAGGGCGGCGATCAACACGAGGGCGCCAATAAGAGAAGGGCCCCGATTAACATTCAACAGGAAGGACTAGGGAACCAATAGGTAGGAGGGCGGCACTGAACAATAGGGTGCCAAAAAGGAGAAAGGCGGCCTTGAAAATTTCACATGAGGGGGCAATAGGAAGGAGAGCGCCAATAATTATGAGGACGCCGATCAGCAGAAGGGCGGCAATATGTAGCAGGGTGGCGACCTACAGGAGGGCGCCTTCGGGTGAGAGGGCGCTTATTTACGGGACAGCGGCTTACATAGGCGACCACCGTTACGCTTAGAGAGCTACAGCCTACAAATGTGGTTGGAGGGCGCCCGAGGGAGCCCTCCAACCGTATTTGGAGGGCGTATTTGGAATGGGCGTCCTCCGAGGGCGCCCTCCATCCGTATTTTCCCTGTAAACACATTCGCGATTGGAGGGCGCCCTCCAGTCGCGATTGTTTTTCGATTCGATTATATCACAATTGCATTTGCGATTGGAGGGCGCCTTCGGCGCCCTCCAATCGCAAAGGGCGCCTTCGGCGCCCAAGGGGGGGGCCATGGCCCAGTGGCCCCCCCCTGCCTACGCCCCTGGGCCCCTGGTTATCTCACTGGTCACCTGAAGGCCCCCTGGACAACTGATTGTCACCTATTCAGCTGAGGGGCCTCCTGGTCACCTGAGGGGCACCTGGCCATCTTAGGCTCCCCTGGTCACCTGAGGAGCGCCCTGGTTACCTCCCTGGTCACCTGTGGGACCCCCTGGTCATTTGAGGGCCCCTAACCACCTGAGGGCCTCCTGGTCACCTGAGGGGCCCCCTAGGCACCTCACTGGTCACCTGAGGGCCCCCTGGTCATCTGAGCAGCCCCTGACCATCTGAGGTCCCCTGGTCACCTGAGGGTCCCCCATGATTACCTCCGTGGTCACCGGACCGGAGAGACCCTCTGGTCACCTGAGGGATCCCTGACTACCTGAGGGGCCTCCTGGTTGCCTAAGGGGCCACCTGGTCACCTGAGGGGTTGCCTGGTCACCTGAGGTGCCCCTGGCTGGCTATCTGAGGGACCCGTTGCCACCCGAGGGGCCCCTGGTTACCTGATGGGCCTCTTGGGCACCTGAGGGGCCCCCTGGGCACTTGAGGAGCCCCTGGTTACCTCAGGGCCCCTTAGTTACCTCACTGGTCACCTGAGGCACCCCCTGGTCATCTGAGCGGCCCCTGACCATCTGAGCGACATCCTGGTCACCTAAGGTGCCCCTGGCTGGCTATCTGAGGGGCCCTTTGTCGCCTGAAGGGTCCCTGAATATGAGAGGCTCCTGGTTATCTGAGGGGTACCTGGTTAATTGACGGGCCCTTGGTTATGCGATGATTCCTAGTTATCTGAGGGGCCGCTGATCACCTGGGTGGCCACTGGGTAGTGATCTGAAGTAACCCTGGTCGGTCACCTGAGGGGCGGTGTTTACCCGGGAAGTGTCTGGTTATCTACCCCTGAAGCCATATGAAAGCCCTTAGTTACCCGAGGTGCCCTTGATATAACTGGCTCCTGTTTATAAGAAGGTCCCCTGGTCAACTATAGTGGGACCTGGTCAATCAAAAGTCCGCTGGTCACCTGAGAAGCCCCTGATTAAGGGGCCCCTGATCACTCTGATTCAGTGGTATAGCCAGGGGGCGAGGGTCATATGCCCGTTATCGGGTTTAGGTTCCCCCGGGCCCGAGGGGCCCTGCGGTGCTTATTGGCGGCAGAGGGTCCACGCTGACTACCCTTCAATTAAAAAGAACCGGCAGGGCCGGCACCCGGCCGGGTACCCAAGATTACCTACTTTATTACTCGGGTTCTCATTCGCCAATTACCAGCGCTGCACCAAGTGCACATCATAGCTGTGACATTCAAACATAACATTGTAACATTGTAACATAACATTGTAACAGTTCTCGGTGCACGGGTATTCGGTCTCACCATGTTTTCTATTTTTATAAATTTAGCTAGAATCTTTGAATGGACGGATTGATTAAGCCGGAACCCACGCTAAGCAGAGCTTGTTGCGTACCTACACCCCCGACCCCTATCGTCTGATCGCGCATTTCCAGGTAACGGGAGAATTTAGATGCCAAGTTTCACGTGCCCTTCAAAGACGGACACAGCCTGTCCCACTCAACTGACTGCAACCGGCTGCGGCTGCAGTCCCACCAACCGCAGACCATCCCCGTCAGTAGTCTCAAATATCGAGCGCCCGAGCGACTAGAACCCCAGCTTTCACTACCGGGATTCCAATTAACGCTCTACCAACTGAGCTACGGGACAGGCAAATTGGGAGGTAAATTAGGCATCTTAGCTATATGTAAGGTAGGTCACCTGTTTGAACCAGGGCTGCGGAGTCGGATTTGGAGTCGGAGTTGGAGTCGGTCGAAGTCGACAGTTCTGCCCGGAGTCGGAGTCGGAGTCGCCAAAATCTTACCGACTCCTGCTACGGGGTCCGAGCTAACGTTGCATGGCTCAACGTCATGCACTGCACCTGTTTGTTTGACGATACTGCGCTCGAAATAAGATTTTGTCGAAAAAAAGCCATTTCGCTGTTTTGGAGGAACGTTTTCAGCGAAAGAAATGGAAGACGGCGAATGTCCCGGAACCTGCTTTTTAATTCTGCATGTTATTTGTAATGCATATTTGCAGCGCAAAGCTTTAGAACGCACACGGGATCGTTTCAGGCAAGATAAAAACATCTCCATTATAAAATTCAATATCATGATATGGGTTTTAACCCGCGCCGTGCTGGTGGCCTGAGTTTTCCGTGTCCGTTGCTGGGGGGGGGAGGGGGGCTTTTCACGTCCCCCGTGTAACTCGGCTCCTGGGCCACGTAGTGACACGCGGTAAGCGGCAATCGGAAGAGCGTCAAAAATTATGACGGAAGTACCTACTGCAGTCAAGGTCAGGTCAAATGTCAGGCCACCGGAGGACATCAAAGGTCAATTTTTGTCTATTTCAATAATTTTCGAATCACCCGACTGCTACTCGTAACTCGGGAACCAATAGAGCAACAGCGCCACGGAAAAGCGCATTCGATAGCCCTTTCACAGACCTTCCTTATCCTTATTCTCAGATTTGATCTCAGGTCAACGCTTTAGCCTCCAGAGTCCACTGGACAAAAACTAAAAATAGAAGTTTTCACGAATATGTTTTTTTTTTCAGTAATAACTTTTGACTCAAGAGAGCCACGACATTACTTTTGGCAGCATCGTATTCTTCTCTTCTCGTCGAGACGCGTTGAATGAACCATAAGTTGACCTCGAAACTTCGAAAGGTCAATCTGAAAATTTGACCTCAGGTAAAGGTCATGACCTGACCGGAAAGGGTCATGTTGCATATCAATCGATCCGTATCGTCGAGCTGTACACAATTGACGTGTTTTTAACGCTCTAGCACGTCTCTATCAAAAGTTATAATAAAAAACTGATGGTGACTTTTCATGGCCTGAGATGACCTCAAGGGCACACAGAGGGATCACAGGTGCAATTTTCCGATTCAGTGTGTCATGTTTATTACCTAAGAACCGATGTTTGAGAAGGCTTAGAAAGACATTCGTCCAAAAGAGGCACATTTCAATTTTCTCCCATTGTCTTAACCCACGAGCCGCTGGGGGGGGGGGGGGGCATAAAGTTGCCCCCCCCTTTACGTTTTGTGGAATATCTCCGAAACCTGATGAGCTACGAACGTGAAACTTGGCATAGCTTCAAATGAATACCTAGGCAATGTTTGAAGAAAGTTTGGTGGTTGTAGCATCTAAGATGACGTCACAGTGACGTCATAAAGTTTTGTCGTTTTCCGATATGGACCGTTTCTGATGACGCTGAGCATGAAACTCAACTGTAAATGAACTAGACAGCACCTGCTGTCATCCTAAAACGTCTAAGTACACTTCCATCTAGTTCCTAACCAATAATCGGCCCTTTATATTCGGTCCCACATACCTGATGTATCGTGAGGAAACCGAGAGTCGCAAATCTATATTTTGACTTATGACGTCACTGTGACGTCATTTCAAATGGCATCGACACCAAATTTGGACACAACCTTGGCTAGGTATTCAGGAAGATGTGTGCAAAGTTTCGCTTCTCTATCTCTTCGCGTTGCGACGATATCGCCGCGGAAGTAAAGGGGGGGGCAACTATATGCCCCCCCAGGCGGCCGGCGGGTGGCGCGGAGGCCCAGCGGCCGCCGGGTTAAAATTGACCTGACCTTAAGTCACAGTTATAAAAAAATCCGATACATATGTTTTACATATACTGTTACTCTTATCAATCTCTGAAAGTTTCAAAGTGACCAGAGGCCAGTTTTACCAACAGAAAATAACCGTCTGCCGGATTTTTTTTGCCTTATGACCGCTTCACATACCTACGGAACGTACATAAACGGTAAAGCACTCTCCGCTTACGTGCCCATTGCGTTTATGCTCCGTATGTGAAGCGGCCTTCCGGCAGGCGGCTATTTTTCTGTTGGTAAAACTGGCCTCTGGTGACCTGACCTTGAACGACCCTGGCCCTAAACTTTCACATGTGCGGAAAAGACGTATGAACAGGTGTACCAAAAACGGCAGAGCTGCGCGCCGCCGTTTTTTTTAGATATTCGCAAAAAACGAGGGGAGGGTTGTGACGCCCCCCCCCCCCCCCCCAGCACGGTGCGGGTTGATAGAACCGTCCGGAGTCGGAGTCGATTTTTGAAGCCGGAGTCGGAGTCAGAGTCGGAGTCACCCTAAAATCCATCGACTCCGCAGCCCTGATTTGAACACACATTTGTAACATCTGGCAAAACGAGCCTGGCAACCTGTAGGAGGTAACAGTCAACACAACAATGAGCAAACTGAATAGCTGCCAATGTAAGCGTCTCGGCGCAATGTCTGGGCATGGCACCATGGTATTTGTCACTGTTTCTGAAAGGTCACATCGAAAAGCCAATTATACCTTCGCTCAGGCCCCGGAGACGTCAGCGTCTGCAAAGGGAACGTCCATCATACACACCTATAGGGCAGAAACATCCGCCAGCCGACTAAAAAAAATGAGGCCGTCATTTCTCTACCTACGCCGAACAGCGCCGCTTGCCACCCCGGAGACGCGCACGGCGGCCCGTCAGGTCGCCCACTTAGCACGTCAGTCGCGCTGGGTCTGTCTGTCACCGGCGCGGCCTTATAACACCGGGCAGGGAGTCTGCGTCACCACAGCCTCTGCTCCGCTCTGCTGCCGGCTACACGATGCTCGCGCTGACCCTGCTCGTGACCGCGCTGGTCGGCCTGACCTCCGGCCGGCCCAACAACGTGCGCACGAGCGTGGTGGCCTCGCAGACGGACTGGACGCGCGGCGGCTCGTCGCAGGTGTCCCAGGCCCAGGGCCAGGCGGCGGCCAACTCGATCGGCGTGCAGACGGCGCCCGGCTTCAACCAGCGCGACGACCGGGCCGCCAACGCCGCTATCGCGCTCCAGGGTCAGTACAAACGGCACGGGACACTGCAGGCAGGTCTCCGTGCAAATGTCGGGGTAGGGAGAGGTCCGTGGATATGGGAGGGATAGAGCCAGGTCACTGGTCAGTGCCTATTATGTAATTTCAAGTAGTTTGGAAACAAGTTTGCTTGCGAGCGCCCAGGGCGGCCACGTTGTTTTAGCACGGACTAAAATGAATGTAATAAAATCAAAGATATTCTTAATTCCCTTTTTTCTTTGTTTTCACCGTTCCGGCATTTGTATTGCCATCAACTTAAACGGTCACATCGAAGTTTGGGATCATAATAGCCGGTAGCCGGCCGTACCTGGCTACCGGTGACTGTGCCTGCGGTGGGCCGATGGGTGGTCCAGGATGAGGGTGCACTAATACTCATGATTAAAACAAATGTTTATACAATTACATGCATTTCCACAATACAAATAATGCGTCACACAAACAATACACAACTTGCAGGTGCATCAGATTAATGCACAAAGGTATCCAAATGTCCGACTTTAATTTGTCCAGTTCGTTAAAAAAAACTAGTCCATTTCAAGACGATTAAGTCCTTTTTTAACGCACCGTTTGCGTGCAAGCTCACGTTGGTCCCCACGACCCCCCATCACCGACTAAGCATCCACGCCGATCCGTGTTGCAGGTGCGTCTGTCGGTAACGGCGACGTCAGCCAGGCGGGCGGCGTGACCAGTGAGACGCAGGGTCGGCTCGGCAACATCGGCACCCTGACTACCTCCGTCAGCAACGGCCGGTTCAACAACGCGGCGGCCACGGCGGCGCTGTCCGGCGGCGCGGCGGCCGCCCAGCAGGTCAGCCAGGCGGGCAACCTGGTGGCCGGCGGCCGGACGGTCGGCCAGCGCGGCGCCAACCTTAACCTGGCCACCGCCGGCTCCGTCAGCACGCAGACGGGCTCCCGCGGCACCGGCGCCTTCGGCAACACGAACGCCGTGCAGACCAACGCCGAGCACGTGGGCCCGCTGCCGGCGGCCGGTCTGCCCGCCGCGCCCGGCGTCATCCTGCAGGGCGTCGGCACGCCGGCCCTCGGCAACCTGCGCACCACGCCGCCGCCGCCGCCCATGCCCATGATGATGATGGGAGGCCGGGGCGGCCACAGGGACTAGACTAGGCCCGTGATATACCTGTGCATCACCGGACTCTGCAGCCAAACTATGACGGAAAGAATCGTGTGCGAGAGATTTACGATAAACGTAAGTCAAATCTACCAATAAAATTTGAACACGCATTCATACAACTGAAGTGTAACGCTTGTACTTATCAACTTCCACAAGCAACGAAGTAAATTGCAACCACGCATAAGAAGTGTGAAATGATGATATTTTGTACGTTAGATCTTCCAATACATACCTGTACCTACACCTGTTGGTAAATCATCTCTTTGTCTGGGAAAAGATGAAGAACGTGCTGTAAGATGACTCCAGAATATAGCAGGCAGTAATTCGAGGGCAATTTTAGGCAAATAAATGGAGAAGTTAAATCAAATATATAATTTAAAAAGGCACAATTTACATTAAAATAGTCCTGAAGGGCCACCGATTCTGAGGGGTCGAGAGTAAACTATACGGTCGCAGCACGTCGAATGCTCATAAACGCAGCTAGCCAATCGCATGCTTAGGTATACTAAGCGATAGGTGACCGACCTGCCGATGTTTAATGCAAATTACTTAGCACGGGAAAAGATTACGCTTAGCACACTGCACAGCAAGTTATAAGCATAACTGTATGCATCGCATCACAAACAATTATAAAATGTAGGTATAACATTTAACGTATTGATCGACAGGTTGTGTGCACGAAAAGAACGCGTAATAAGTAGACGTAAATTATAAGTTTGTATTATATGTAGATGATTTAATTGTGATGTTGATTTGAACGTTTCAATGAGGAGTTCTGATGAGTTTCAGACACCCAGGCTACGTAAACACGCCGTGTTTAGCTGAAACTGGGGAGGGGAGTGAGAGAGGGTGGGATGCCAGGCCTCGTGATCACACAGCTGGCAGCACGCTAGCTGAGGAGAGTGCGGCTCTTCGCTCAGCAAAGAGTGCGATCGCACGGTCAGCAGAGACTTGACGAGACGTGTGACATAACGTGCAAGTTAGAGGAGTATCGCTGGCAAAACGGTCGCTGGCGAAACAAGGCGAAACGGTGACGACATCCAGCAAGTGCATCTCTGTTTTAATCGCATCAGCAAGCATCCCTATCCGCGTGCCTGTAAAGGCGGTACTGAGCCAACTGTGTGTCAGAGTGGCGATCCCCCCGAGTCTCTGGTGTCGTCGCAGATCGCCGATGTCGCCTCTCCGTCTCCGTCTGACGGTGTGGTCCTTATTGGCGGCCCTGGCCGGGTCCGGGGTCGGAGCACAGGCCGTCGCTGATGTCCAGGTGGACGCTAGCCGACCTGTTGGCCCCCTACCCCACTTCTGGACGTCCACTGGCTTCTGGTAAGTGCAGCAAATACTCGTAGTCGAGACGATAAAATAACCGTAAACGGGAAGGCCTTAACGTCGTGTTTTTTTTTTCGTCCGTGTCACTTCGATTCATCAGTTCACACGCAAAGATGAATAAAAAATAATTATCATACATCACAGAAAATAATGTGCACCTTTTCAGTCCAGGAATGCCACATCAGAACCCGAGGAAGCTGACTGGTCGTGACGTCGTCACGAGCCTGACGCTGATTGGTGGCCTGCCGTGGAGGGGTTTACAGCAGGTGCGGGTTCACTGGCTACTGGACCTCGTGAAACCAGGGTGAGAAGAGTGGAATCAATTTGTCTATATCAATAATAAAAATGTAGGCATTCGCTATAAATAACCGTCGGGGCATTTTTAAATAGCCATCCATTTAATTCCGTTATAAATAGGTGGAGCAAGAATTGATACCGCTGGCATGGTAAAATTACAATCAAATCAACCAATTGAAAACGAGTCGCTGATTAAAATATATCCAACTTTCTATTTTCCTGAGGAAGTGCTGGAAGCCAGACATATAACTTCACTCATCTGGACACGTTTCTGGACGCCCTGGTGTCAAATGGACTGAGGCCAGGGTTCGAGCTAATGGGCAACCCAGGCGGACAGTTCACCGACTTCCTCAGCGAAGACCAGCAGCGGAGATGGACCCAGCTCGTTCGCGCTGTGGCCGAGCGTTATGCAGGTGGGTACAAGCGGTCCAAGCTATGCATTCAGTTGCTTTATTGCTTACAATATTCACACATTATATTAAAATTTATACTACGTGAATGTAAAGCATCAGCCGCTCAACACCGCACCGAACGGGCGCGCCCAGAATCCAGCTTCATGTAATGCGGTACAGCATACTTTCAGGCGTTCGCCACTAGCGCCATCTATGGACCGTAAGGTAAGCATAAGTACCCAACCAACCGCTTGCAAAGGAAGCAAATCGATGGATGTGTTTGTTGTGTAAGTAGGTACTCAAATCCCAGGTCAGATATGATAAGAGACATAATTGACTTGGAACAATAAATCAAACGTGCCAACCTCGAGGGTATGTACCAACAATAATGCGGATATTCAGTAGCCCTGGTATAGTTATTGATACCGTTTACAGCATCGCAAATCTTTTGTTTTTTTCTATTGGCTCATTGATAAAGGCACTCATTGACAAGACCATGTGGCCGGCCCATGAAGCACAGGGCGCTACGGCATAGACGAGGTCCGACAATGGAACTTCGAAACCTGGAACGAGCCCGACCATCACGACTTCGACACGCTCAACATTACCGTGCCAGGTATGATGATGAAAACTAGGCCTTTCAGTACTAAGCTAAAATACCTGTACTAAGCCAAATTAGGGCAATAGCAATATTGATAAACTAAGGACAAGGTAAAGAAAAGTAGTATCCGGTAACAAACAAGCGAATTTGTGGAAGGTGAACAACGCACATTTTTGGCCGTCATACGTAGAGCCTTTCTTGCATTGGACGCTACGCTATAGAAACGGTGCTCAACTGCTGACGGATGTCAGAAAATCATCGTCAGCGATTATGATTAAGCTCCAAAGTGTGGACATCTTCACAACCCCCATTTTCGGCAGGGTACCTCAACTATTTCTGGGCGAGCCGGCGCGGGCTGCGCGCTGCCGACGACCGGCTGAGGCTGGGCGGACCGGGCGGCTCGTGCCGACCTCCCCACTTCAGCACCCTGTGCTGGGCGCTGCTGAGGCACGCCGCCCCACAGCTCGACTTCCTCTCGTTCCACCGGAAAGGCGAGCAGGAGGTGCGCTCCATCCTCTCTGCCGAGGTGCAGACGCTGCGAGAGCTGCGCGCCAGGTTCCCCGGGGTGGAGCGGCTGCCCGTGTTTAACGAGTGAGGACCGCCAGCACTAGTATCGTCACTGCTGCTATGCTAATGCCAATTGGAAGATGTCCTCTTCACTTCAGAAGCCTAAGTTTTCAAAGATGAGCTTCCTATGTGCCTTTGAAAAAATACTCTCCGACAAACGGCACCTTCAGAACCGACGAAGACTATCAGAATCAAACATACTTTAGCAGAAAACTAGTTCACAAATCCAGGTTAGACCATATAATATCACTGAATCATTTATCAATACACTCAGAGTATAACAAATGTCGCAGTTGGGGACGCGTTCATGTCCTCCCGAGTCATCCCACATGCCTCCCCCGCAGCGAGGCCGACCCGGAAAAGGGATGGTGGCGGGCCCGGCCGTGGCGAGCCGACGTCACCTACGCGGCTATGATAGCGTCCAACATCATCAGACACCAGCTGTGGCGCACCGCCACCGGCAACAAGTACCACTACAGCCTGCTGAGCAACGACAACGCCTTCCTCAACTACCACCCTCACTACTTCCAGCAGAGGACGCTGTTCGCCAGGTATAGAACAAAAATACGCCGTCAACCTTAATCTAAGTGCCTTAGGGTAAACTTGAAATGAATCCTGAGTGTAGCAGACCATGGTTTGGTTGAAACTATGGTTTAATTAAAACCCTATGAATCATTCATTAAAGGGACCCTCCCACCTTCAAAAAAGTTAATGAATTGGCATGAAAGTGATGTCGCTCGGTTCAGGAAGAGCGAAAACGAATATCTACCAAATTTCATCGAAAAATATTCACCGGTTTTCAAGATATTAGACTTTTACTATTGTTTACTTTCTGAGATCTCCGCTGTTTCTAGCGACTTTATTTGAAAGTGCGGCATTTGTTGCGCGCAAAGCAGCATATACCACCGCGTGCTACCAAACGTTTTAGTAAAAGATTTAAAAATCGTTAGACCTCCGCTGACGTCACAAATTCTAAGGGGGCATACCAATGCATTAGCCCCTTAGAATCCGAAAACTGCAAGTTTGAAATTCCATATCTCCGAATTAAAGCATTTTTCGATGTTGTGAGTGCCCAAACCGGTATTTTCAGGCCATGGCCACCAATTTGGCTATCTCAACTCAAAACTAATGTTAAGGTGGGAGGGTCCCTTTAATGATGCGCTCGCCATTAACGATTCACCGAGAGACGAGGTGACAGCGGACGGGTTTTTAGGTTTCAGATGAACCGGACGTCCGACAAACACTCGGAGTTTGTCCTGAAGCCGAGCTTCTCCGTGATGGCACTGCTGGCCCAGCTTGGATCTCGGCAGCTGAAGTTCGCCGCCAAACACATGCCCAGGTAAAAAAAGTCTGAAGGCTCTCAAGCCTGACAGGGAAGATAATTGTGTAGGATAAACGAAATATTCCACAAGGAAAAAAACTTAGAGCTCGGCACTAGGCAGGCATAACTAGTTCTACTGGGTACCGCCTAAACAAACTGATGTCTGAGGTATAGAAGCGAAAGAAAATATGACTTTATTATCAGTATGTCGAATTCAGAACTAAATAAACGCATTGTACCCTACATCGGCCTGCAGCTCACTATACGTGCTGCCGTCCATTGGTGACCAGGACAGATCTCTAACGGTCCTGCTCAGCCGAGGAGACTCCGCCGAGGAACCACGGCCCGACACCAGCGTTCATCTGCACATCAATAACATCACCATGCCGACAGGTAACCGTAGCGAGCAGGATAACCATATACATGCTACTGAGAAGAGTAAATGAAACGGAATAGATTCGAGATGAAATCTTTGGAACAGGTGCTGAACGTTTGTATCAGACAACTGTGTCGAGCTGAGCTCTGTTGAGCCCGCCCATAAATTAATAATAGGAACAGGTCAGATTTTGAGTTGAGGAACAAACGGCTAAGTTTGACACGCTTAGCCTTTGACACGATCAGAAATTTCATCTGTTGCGTGCGAACTTTATCCTGTCGTCGCGTCGCGAGCGTGAGCCTCTGACGACCGTTCCAGGTCAGCAGTGGTACTACACCGTGTACACCATGGACAACCGTCTGACCAGCCCGTACCAGGTCTGGGCGCGGCAGGGCCGTCCCGTGTTCCCCGACAGGACACAGCTGGAGGAGATGAGACAGGCGCAGGTACGAAAGCCAGTCAACCACAATACAGAACAAACAGCGCTTGTGAGATGGCATAGGATGCTTGCCGGCTCCTGTCATTGCATTTGCGTTTTAATTTTAGTGCAATGCATGAAGCATAACACCAGTATAACGCCTTTTGGGGCGACTAACGGAGCGAGCGAGAGGGTGAGCCTTGCACGTGCGAAATTTCGAAGGGGTACCTCCAACTGACTTGTGCACGGCACCTTACTAACCGGTCTCTAGCGATGTGCCAAATTTGAGCACAATCGGCCCAGCCGTTCTCGAGATCTGAAAGCGGCACCCTGCACGTGCGCACGTGCAAAATGGGTCCCGACTGACTTGTGCACGGCACCCTACTAAACGGTCCCTAACTGTGTACCAAATTTGAGCGCAATCGGTCGAGCCGTTCTCGAGATCTGGAAACGACCCCTGCACGTGCGCACGTGCAGCAGCACCCCAACTCTGGCACATGGATATGTAGTGCCTAGTGGGTGCCTACCTACATGCCAACTTTCAGCGCAATCGGCCAAGTAGTTACCGAGATATTGCAACAATTACAAAACTGACACCTCTTCGTTTTGCACGTGGCACGTGCATGAGGGGTCACCCACATGCATCGGGAATAGTCCAATACTTGGTAGAAGGAATGAATCTACCCTACAAAATTTACCGCATGTAAATCGGTCAAGTGGTTGCTGAGATATAAGCCTCGCAAAAGCGTCCGCACGGCCGGCCGGCCGCTCATACTCAGAAATTTCCGTTATTCTACGTAAGACTCCGCTCGCTTCGCTCGCTCCGTAACGAACACCTCGATCACCTACAAATAGCACTTCAGCGCCGTCAGTTTAAAGTATAACATTTTCACATCCTTAAATGCAATTTGATTTGACAACCAGTCCTGTTTCACGGTTTCTCATCCTGTGCCCGCATCCGGCCTGCACATCACCCTGTGACCCATCCCTGTCGAAGTTTACCACGACCTTTGACCTAAGCCTCCCCTCAGGGTCTTCGTCGCGTGGGCCCACCTCTGCCGCTCCTCTCCAGCCGTTTATCTGTGAAGCTGCGCCTGCCGCTGCCGTCTGTCACTCTGGTACACGTCTGTGGCACCGGCGACCAACCGGGACCCATCACTGGACTGAGGGTGCAGCCAGTCACACGCGGAGAGGTGCTGATCGTCTGGGATGACCGATTGGTCGATACCAGGTGGGTACGAGAACAGATGGATAGTACTAGTGTGGAAAAACGGAACGATGGAGGATGAAACCAGCCGAGAACGATGGGGCAGTGGCAGGACAATAATTGGCCATTGAAGGACAACTTAACTCCGAGCAATGGCGAAAAAACGTGAGCACGTAAAACTAACACCATCGAAAAATTCAGCCCACTGATGCAACCTTGTCAGTCGACAATATTGACGGAAGCAATCATGACGTAGCACTACGATATGAACTACTTTTGTCTGGTCTCGTCGACTTCATACCGAGAGACCTATCTCAAATGGTCCCACTCGACCGACAGATGCATTCTAACGTACGAGGTGTTCTTCCGAGCCGAAAACGTGACCGACGAGAAGTTTCGTCGAATCAACCCATTGGATACGATTTTCAACTTATTCCAATGGTCCCCAGATACGCCAGGTAAGTCGAGCAAGTGAAGTGGTCGCTGGTCTAAGCATAAATGCTTTCCGAAAATCTACACAAGGACCTAAGCGAAGAAGTCATCCCATAGCAACTATTCAACATACAGGGTGGGCCAAAAAAAGTGTGTCACTTTTCAGCAGCTATTTCTCGAAAGTGGTAAGAGATATCAAAAAGAAACTTTCACGACTTAAAGAAAATCGATTGACAAATTATATGATACCCATTTTATGAAAAAGTTTCAGTCGAACTGATGTTGCCATCACCATTTCAAAAATGGGATATGTGCGTCTTTTATGCTTGCGCATGTGCTCGAAGCTCAAGGCCCATCTGAACGCGCTCCAGGAAGCTGACGCCCTGACCCTCTCCGCGGTGTCTGCTGTCACTTCACGCACGTACCATGATCGACGCTGACACGCAGCTCCTCCAGGTTACGGGGCTTGTTGCGATAGACGCTGTCCTTGCAGGCTCCCCAAAACCAGTAGTCCAGCGGGTTGAGGTCAGGACTGTGAGGATGCTTTTCGCTTCCCTTGGTGATCACGCTACAAGCTTTGTTCATGCAAGATGTAGCGCCACCGCACACGGCCCGAGAGACACTGCAACTGCTCCAAGAGCTCTTCGGTTGCCACGTGACCTCCAAGGGAAGCTAAAAGCAGTGGGCTCCTCACAGTCCTGAACTCAACCCGCTGGACTACTGGTTTTGGGGAGCCTGCAAGGACAGCGTCTATCGCAACAAGCCCGGTGGCCTGGAGGAGCTGCGTGTCAGCGTCGATCATGGTACGTGCGTGAAGTGACAGCAGCCACCGCGGAGAGGGTAAGCGTCAGCTTCCTGGAGCGCGTTTCCGGATGGCCTTCAGCTTGGCGGTGCCCACTTCGAGGACATGCGCAAATAAAGAGATGCACAGATCCCATTTTTGAAATGATGATGACAACGTCAGTTCGATTAAAACTTTTCCATAAAATTGATATCATATAATTTGTCAAACGATTTTCATTAAGTTGTGAAAGTTTCTTTTTCGTACCTCTTACCACTTTCGAGAAATTACTGCTGAAAAGTGACACACTTTTTTGGCCCACCCTGTACATGTTCTCTATATCACTGAAAGCATTCATGATGAAACGAGTTATCCATGATGATGTGTTGAATTGGAAGTCAGCTAAAAAGTATCTTATTGAACTGACGACATATGAGTAGCTGCTGCTAGTCGCTCTCGTTGTTCGATTATTATCAGTGCTCCTATGGATATCATCTCCTGATTACATCCCACGCTATTTTCAGCAGAGGGTCCCGATCCCACGCGGGGCCAGTACAGAGCACGAGCCATGGACTACACCGGCGGGGCCGGGCCCTTCTCACCGACAGTCGTCTACTGAACGGAGGAGGACCTTAGCGCCCACGATCTGCCGACTTGTCCACCCAGCGCAAAATGTCACGTCGGCAGTCCCAGCGTCATTAAATTGTCAGTCATCACTGAAAACGCCTGTCAGAGGGAAAAAAGCTTACCGATGAACAGTGAACACGATCGGGTAAAGCCATTGTATGAAAATTGTAACAACTTGTATATTGCGTTCTGTCATGAGCCAACAGGAGACACGAGCTTGTAAAAGACTTACAAAATGTTCTGCTACATGGTAAATACCACAGCTTATCATCGGGTATGTTTGTTTTGCGCTGAATAATCAGCAAAAGACCATCGACAAAGCAATGGCACAGGAACTCCCAATGAGAATGGCACGAAAGTCTTTCTGACTCGTTTCGTATCCCCAGTCAATGCTATCTGCGATGGCTTTCAGGTACTCGACATGGTTACTTCACCTCTAAAAAATGATAGAACATTAGGAGTTACGACTATGGAAAATTCACTAAAACTCGGCAAAAGATCTACAAACGACGTCACTCAAAACACGAGGCACGAAAACTATCCATTATCCACCCTATCTGGAATAGGAACCCAACATAGCTTGTCTTGAGTAGCTTCACACTCCGACGTGCCGGTTAACGGTAAGGCACGTCCCACCAACAGCTGCTCCGCCCCGCCGAGCTACTCTCTCTACGCATTATGGCAAAACGTCAATACCGTTGAGCCCCACTGGCCGCTCCCTGAGGCACACCAGTGTCTCGTAGCAGCATACCATAGGCACTGACCTCCAAGAGAATCGCTGCCTTCCCAGTGAGGTAAGACACCCCGACAGACTAGTTCTGTTCCGCCTCTTCTGTGCGCCGACGGCGGGTCGCTGGCCCGAAAAACGATGTGAGTGACGCCTGCCGCTTACCGTCAGACTTCTGTGTAGTCCGGGCAAGGGTGCGCTTCGGTGTAGACTCAGCCTCGAACAGCTTCAGAATCTGGCGAAAGATTTAGGAAGGGTAAGAGAAGAGAAGGTTGAGCTAGACGGTCACATTAAATACAAAGAGAATAGCTAGAATTAGCGATAGGTTTGCGAGAAGGCTAGGAATAGGAATACGGCTTAAACAAAACGGCAGCCAGGACAAGAGCTGTGGACCGAATTCACAATGAAAACGAAACATAACGAGCAAGCACCAGCAGTCTTATTTCAACCAAACACACAAATCAAATCACAACACACACACTCATTAAATTCGCTGCGGTTACCTTTCTGACCGGAGTGGGGATGCCGGCCTGAAGCAGATCCTCTCGCGACACCCAGCGGGCGGCCTGGTATCCCTCGGGCACCGGCGGCTCCTCCGTTTCCCTGCTCAGTGGGGCGGAGCGCGCCCGGTACACTCGGCGAATGTGACTGAATATGTGGGTGATGTCCCCCACGGGTTGGAGTGGGCCGGCCGGCGGGGCCAGAGAGCCGCTCAGCAGGCGGCGGAGGGCCGAGTCCACGGCCGAGTCTGATGGCTCCTCCTCTGATAGTTGGACAGAGGGGAACTCCCACAGTGACGCCAGTAGACCTGGTGGAGCGACACAGCGTGTTAATCAAGGAAGGACGGTAACGGTGAAACCAGCAGGCGATGGTGTGCGAATAGCAACGGGCGCTCTTAAATCAGAACAACGTTCAACAAATATTTCTTTATAGCATTGAGGCGTAAAGCCAAACCAACTCGCATTGAGTCAAAACATTTATACTAAACCAATTCTAGCCTAACTTATTTCAACAGCAACGGATGAAAAAGTGATGCATTATCCCCCATCAGGGTGACATAATAATTTTTATCATTCAAACGTGCAAGCAAAAACGGTGTCAGAAATAGGCAATAAGCACCGCCACCTACCTGATTCGGGCCGCTGGCAGAGCAGGAAGCGGCGCCGGTCCCTGTGCAGCACACAGGTGGCCACCTGTTCAGCGCGCGGCGCTGCCTTCCGCGGCTTGCGGGGGAAGTTGAGCACTCCCCGCTCCGTCTCCCAGAGGTCGGTAGGCAGGCAGAGCGGGCACGGTGAGCCGCACTCCTCAATGTCCACGACCGGCGCCGAGACGGCCGAGGTGGACTTCACGGGTCCTACGGCAGAACAGTGCCCATGATTGGAAGACGTTTGAGCAACGTGATGACATTTCAGATGTATTCACTAATAAAACAGTTAAAAGTAGAGTCGGTGGTACGCGCCAATCACAAAAAACATACATGTACAAAACTTCCGTAAAATGCAAGTAGTTCCACGGTATCAGACGAAATTTTCGACATAGTCAGCGGCTCGTGAATCCACAAAATAGCCAATAGCGTGCAAAGTTACACGAAGGGCAACTGAATCTACACTACACCAAGTTCGATTACGTTCCCAGTCCACCGAAATCCGTCCGTCTCGGTCACTCACCGTTACGCTGGCCGGTCAGCCTGTACGCGGCACACTGCGGCCGGACCGGGCACGTGCGGCAGGCGGGATCCCGCGGCGTACACACGGTCGCCCCCAGCTCCATCAGGGCCTGGTTAAAGTCGCCAGGCCGGTCCGGATCCACCAGCTCACCGGCCGTCTTCCAGAGCCAGTCGGTCACCGGCTGCCGAGGCATGATACGGGACTGGTCAACAAACAAACAAAGGTAGCGAACAAACAACAAGCGATCAAACCAACGACGCTACTGGGCTTCCAGCTGCCACTGTTAAAATTTTATCAGTGGCGACTTCAACAATCAGGAATCAAACATGTCTTTATCCCATCTTTGCGGTCAACGACTAACGAAAATGAAAGTTGAATCCGTCAAAATTCAGGTCTACATCGTAAGGGGCTTGTTGTTCTTTAAGTTCCAACGTTAAGTTCAAGATTAATAACGACCTTCACGGGTCATCTCCTCACCGACACCGCATCGTCGATAAACCCACCTTGGAGTCGGAGGCGGCTCCGACGGCCCGAACTCGGGCCATCACGCGCACCACGTTACCGTCGACGACGGGCGTCCGCTGGCCGAACGCAATGGACGCCACCGCGCCGGCCGTGTACCGACCGACCCCGGGCAGTCGGAGCAGGGCCTCGGCCGAGTCCGGCACCCGGCCCTCCAGGTCGGCACATACCTGAGTGCGGAGGTCAGGGAGAGTGAGCAAAGGAACAGGAGGTCGATGGAGGGATAAATGACAGCTTTTACTGTTCAAAGCTCACCTACTCCATACAGGTGTAGGGCTGTACAGTTGTTCACCACTTCAACATTATTCATTAGAAGCAAGCTGAGACCAGGAAGATGCCAGGCTAGACCATGGCAAATGAGTGAAGTGAACAAACTTCTTAGTTTCAACTGGACTTACATCTTTTGCTCTGCATCTGCACAAATTGACCAACAATGCAGGGCCTATTTTAACATGTTAACTGGGGGGGAGGGGGGCAAATGCCCCCGCACTCAACAGAATTGCCCCCCTAGTCGTCGAGATTTGCCCACTATAAAAATGGGCATAAAGGAACAGGGTGACAAACATACTACGTAAATACTGTGACTTGTTTTGCAATGGATGTCAAATGAGTCAGTCTGTAAGTAATGACCAGTGGTGTATCTAAGGGTGGGTCATATGGGTCATGACCCCCCACCCTCTTGGGGCCCGGGGACACCACAGGCCTGTCAGGGGCACCACAGGCCTCTTGGGAGCACCATCAACCTAGCAAGCACCATAGGTCTGCCAGGGGCACCACAGACCTGCCAGGGGCCCCACCGGCCTCGCAGGGGCACCACCTTGGGCCTGTCAGGGGTACCACCACAGGCCCGCCAGGGGCACCATAGGCCTGCCAGAGGCACCATAGGCCTAGCAAGGGCGCCACGGACCTGTCAGGGGCACCAGAGGCCTAGTATGGACACCACATGCCTGGCAGGGACACCACCGGCCTCGCAGGGACTGGGACACCTTGGGCCTGTTAGTGGCACCACGTGCCTGTCGGGGACACTCCAGGCTTGTCAGGAGCACCACAGTCCTGTCGGGGCCCAGGGGCACCACCGGCCTCACGTGGACACCACCGGCCTCGCAAAGGCATCATGGGCCTGTCAGGGGCACCACGGGCCTGTCGTTGGAACTTCAGGCTTGTCAGGGGCACCACAGTTCTTTCAGATGCACCGGCGGCCTAGCACCATGGCACCATGTTTGGCCGAGGTCGCGATTCGGCGTATGTCGCCTCGCATTAGCCGCGCGTTTGCAGTCTTTTCGTGGTTTCAAACGTTCAAACATGGGATATGATGTTGCTCCCATGCATTAGGGTGGGTGTCAAGATCACCGGAAGGTCAGGTCAGATCATTTACCTTTGATGACCTCGGTTCACATTTTCGAGTTTTATATGTTTCTAGGCTAGTTTTTGGAGCTGAATTCGAATTAAGCAACCATTTGACCATTTACGAAGTAGTTTTGGTGCCTTCGTAACATGTTACGAAGCTGTCAGAGGCGGTTGCCACCTACTACGAATACCCGGCAAAACCCTTACTGGTTGACCTGACCTGACCTGACCTGGCCTAAATGCATGAAGACATCATCTATGATCATAACTAACATGATATTCGTGATCAGCACCCCGAAAAACCATAGCAGCCACTCTTTACGATGCTCTAACAGGTCCCGATTTTCCCGACTTTTGGGTCAATGACCTGACCTGGAAGGTCAACCGATGACCTAGGACCTTAAAATTGGGTATAATCGGCTTCCTTTCATCACGGGCAACACGGTCGTTTTTTCCGCGAAGCTCTAGCTCGATCAGGGGCGAAACGGCAAGGGGGAGGGTTCAACGGACCCCCCCCCCCCCTATACGCTCGCTACTGGAAACACCAATACGGGCGAGGGTTAATGGATTATTAAAGACAATTTTCCAGGTTGCCCCCCCCCCAGTCAAATTCCCTTAAAATAGGCTCTGCAACAATGTACAATACAAAATAAGCACATAGGCTTAATTAACCTTTTGAGCTCCTTCATGAAGTCTCCTGGCTCTGGAGTAGTAGCCCAGTCCTGACCAGACCTTCAGAACTTCGTCCAGGTCAGCAGTGGCCAAGGCCTCAACTGTTGGCCAGTTTTTCATCCATTTATTGAAGTACTCCACCACAGTGGCAACTTGGGTCTGCTGTAGCATGATTTCTGAGACCCAAACTGAAATAATAGCTCAGTATTAGAATGTAGGCAATAGACATCAGTTAAAACCTGACCTAGCTAGGAGACACATAATATAATACTGGCATGATTGTGCAACATACTTAGCTAATGAATGCATAACTGCATCGTGCAGTGGCTAAACCACAACTTCACAAATCTGTGTTATGCCAAAATGAAACAGCAGAACACCTGAATTCAGTAACTTACCAGCATATGCTTTCTTATTGCTATCTGCTTCCATGGCTGCAATGTCCCTCCATGGCAAGGATCTATGATTTTGATCATACCATTTCAGAAGGCTCTGCTGGAACTGTAGAATCTCTGAAGCTGATGCATCATGTATCCTTGGCATTTTCATCCTGAAAACTAAATCATGGATTTTTCAATGCATGTGAAAAGTGGTCTCATAGCAAAAGGCAAGCTAGTTCAGTTAAGCGATATATCCTGTATTTATTTATAGTGCTAAATGCAATACACACACTGCCAAGCTCAGGGCATCCCACTCAGAAGTCTTGAAGCCATAGTGTTACACTACTTGCTCGTGGGCCTTATTAGCAACTGGATAAGAGCAGCTGGCTGGCCAGCTGATGACGTACAATAGCTATGGGGTTTATTAATATAAACATGGTATTAGATGGAAATGGACACGAAAAATGGCACTCAGAAAAATTATTAAATAGATATTATGCCATTTTTATCTAGCATCGATAAGTAACAAGCTCTGTTAGTGCCACCAAACGGCACCAGCTGGCAAATGATCCAGAAAATAGTACAGCCCACTCGCCTGCATACAGATAAAGATAAATAAAAGCTGGTTATTAATAGACTACATGAATCAAATCAAAGTTTCTGATGAATGCAATTTGTGCCAGGTTCTTCAGGTTTATACACCTCAAAGTACTGTGTCCATTGAAAGGAATGAAATGGACTGTTTCCAAGTGCCCAAATAGCTGACCTTTATTTTCAAAACGGATGTGTGAGAACACAAGATCAGTCGGTGACACACCAGGGAAATAAGCTAAAATTAGAGCGCTCTATTTATTGCTCCCGCTACTTCACCGTCTCCCATAGGGTCCTGTGTTGAGCTGGTGTCGAGGCTCTAAAAATGACGCCGATTTTTGCACCCTTCTCACGAAAACCGCTCGGACCGCCTGGAAACCAATTGTTCCGCTCTAAAAATTTCATGATCGACGGGAAAATGAATGAGGAAAAGATTGGTCCTGAAATAATTCTGAACTCCCTGTAGAACATATCGAAATATGGCTGCAAACTAGGAGCATGTCAAAATCGACAAAACAATACAAATAAACTTACCGGGATTTTTTTATTTTCCATGCATCTGTGTATGAAATCAGTCGGTTTTTCGGAAAGATCATCTTCTGTTTAATAAATAATTCCACAATTGCAATCGAGAAAAAAAAAAACATTTCCGCTGTGACAGCAGTTTTGGCATTGTGCCAGTAGTGTGGCGTGCGCGGTGATGCGTGGTCGTCGGGACGGAGTTGTGAGTATTTTCGGTGTTTTAAATGGTTGATGGCCATTGGAACCAGCTTCATATTATTTCCTACAAATTTTTGCATCAAATTATTGCTTTGAAAGACCATTGAAACCCCTTATCTCTTCATGAAACACGATCATATTCATCGTCGACGAAAATGGCGCGGGACTCCATGTGCATTCCGATCGAAATAAATCGTAAATTAAATAATATTCGATGATAAGTATCATATTCTAGTGACACATTTTCATAAAATAAGGCATAAACTTTGCAAGGAAGTCAACATTGGATAATTGGATTCTTATTTTGCTCACATATCCTTGTAGTAGTCAAATGGCTCAATTGTTAGATAGATGTAAGTATATGTTTTGGCTTGATGTTTGCTGTGAAACCACCCAGCCACTTGCTGGTTGAGTGGTTTTCTGATGATTACCTGATAATCATTTCTCCTTTTCCTTAAAAGAAACTAAAATTCCTTTCAAAGTAATCCATTTTAATGAAAGGCGGCTTGCTCATTGGCATTTCATGTTCTTGTTTTGTTATTGCTGGCAGTATTTTGATACAATAATGCAATATGAATTTTTTTGCAATAATAAAACCTAAGACAAACTTAGTTAATGCGTCAATCAAACACCCAACAGAAAGATTGCGAGTCCTTGTGACGTGAAGTAGAATATTCTATGAATATGTTATAGAGAATATGCCAAATATTAAATTAATTATTATTTGATACTGATAGCTGAGCAGGTGAATTATGCCACAATATAATTTCATTTTCTGGGTTTGAAATAGCCGGCAGTATTTTACTTCAACAAATGTAATATACATGGAATACATGTTGTTATGTTACCTATGTTAAAAGTTTAATAACAGCCAACAGAAGGAGCTGTTTCAGCAGATAATGTTTGTACCTTATGCATTACCTTTCTTTTCTGCAGGACCATGCTTCCGCTGGGTGGTCGACATTTGCCTCCTGAAGAAGTTGAGCAACATGAAGACCACCAGATGAGGTGTCTGCAGTTCATGTGGAACTCTGCAGACTACAAGTGTTATGCCAACCACAACCAAAGTGCTGTGATCATGGAGGCATGAACTTCATGACAACACTTCAGATTTGCAGTTGAACCAAAGTGTGATTCAAACCACCTGTGGCATCTCACTCAATGTGTGAACAGTGTGATTATTGTGCAGTGTTCAGCTGCAACTAAGACATTTATTAGTGACTTGTTTTGCAATTAGCCACCAAAAGCATTTTTTTGGGCTGGCTGCTGTAATTTGTTGTGCACTGCGCAATAGTGGTAGTGTTTTGTCACTTGTCAAGTTGTCAGTTGTGCATGTTGCATGTTTCTCTTCCCTCGGCCCTCATTATCAGTTAAGTGGTGAATTGGCATCACTCAGTCTCCCCAGATCTCCATTGACTGTCTGTCAACCACCTAACTTGAGATGGTATTTGCTAATAGTGTCAGAAAAGAAGTGATTGTAGACATTTTTAGGAATATGAGCTCCGTTTCATGCGTGTTCCAGTGGTCATTTTGTCACATGTCCCATAGTGTAATAAATGGAAACTGTTGTTCCCTTTTGAAGGTACTCGCGGATGCAGAAAGCGTTGGGCCTAATTATTAAACGCACCCTCCTATCAGCGACGCACGAAATCGACAAATATCATCCTTTTTAGAACAGGAGGAAACGAAAACTTGTGAACATAGCCGTACCTACAACAGTGCATAAGGAATTGAAATTCTGGGAGTTTTTGAAATTCGGAGAAACTCAAGTTGTCGACAGGTATGCCCCCTTGCACGTCAAAGACCGCCTAAAAAACAAACGTCTACAAATGAAGGCAGTATTCGTATGTTCGTTGTAATTGCAGCAGCCGAGCAACATGCATTGCGGTCCGATGGCGAATTACACTCGTGCTCAAAAACTATGCCCGTAACTGCCAATGCACTTAGGTCATAGGTGAGGAGAGGAAGGGTTATGTCATATGTCATCATCATAGAAATGGCTTCATCTGAGCTGTGCCTATTGTTCATAATTCAACCAATCTATGCATTTCGTTTCTTGCAATCTATTCATGCTTTCACTCCAGCTTCAGAGTAATCATCCCATATTGTACGTCTTAAGATATTGATTTCTATGGCGGTTTGCAATTACTAGCCACGTCTCACCTCAGTTTGGTGGCCCCGCATCGGCCCACTCGGCCGCTCTAAAATTGACTTACGGAGGAGGATGGTGGCTTTTATTTTAGCTTCTCCGCCGACTGCGGGGAGCGCCGTCGCCGAGGTAGGAGCAATAATTAGCTTATGTTTGGGACTAATTTCCACGCTTCATTAACATTTTAATGTGATTTTAATTAATTCATGTTAATCTTTGACGCATTCTCTTTCTATTGATACCATCCACCGGTCTGAGAATTACTGCCTTGCTGCGTAAGAGCCGATAAAAGATCACGCTTTTAGGGGTATCTCTTCAACATGGGGCAGGAGCAATAAATAGAGCGCTCTACTTTTAGCTTATTTCCCTGGTATGTCACCAACTGAGATTACTTTATGAGAAGGGTATATACCTACTATTACTGTTGTTGTTGTTGTTGAAGAGTTAGGGCGCGCAGCACCTACTATTACTGCTTTGATGAGAATAAATAAATATCCCCAAATTAGAGGTGGCAAAATGTGGACCCGAGGACCCGGTCCAAAGAACCAGTCTGGACCCATAGGTAACGGTAGCGCAGGCGTCACCGATAGCTTCGGCGGCGTAAACAGTCAAGGTAGGTGTATTGTAAGTATATTGACATAGATATGGTAGCACTGTTAAATTATATGACGTCATTGGAGTATGAAAAAGTCTCTAGAACGTGTCAGGGAGGACAAAATGGGACTCGGCCGGTTCCAGCGGGACATATTGGGACTCAGCCGACTACCGCGGGACATAGTGGGACTCGGCCGGTCCCAGCGGGACACAATGGGATTCAGCCGGTCCCAGCGGGACACAATGGGACTCGGCCGGTCCCAGCAGGACACAATGAGACTCGGCTTGTCACAGCGGGACACAATGGGACTCGACCGGTCCCAGCGGGACATATTGGGACTCAGCCGACTACCGCGGGACATAGTGGGACTCGGCCAGTCCCAGCGGGACACAATGGGATTCTATTCGGCCGGTCCCAGCGGGACACAATGGGACTCGGCCGGTCCCAGCAGGACACAATGAGACTCGGCTTGTCATAGCGGGACACAATGGGACTCGGCCGGTCCCAGCGGGACACAATGGGATTCGGCCGGTCACAGCGGGACACAATGGGACTCGGCCGGTCCCAGCAGGACACAATGAGACTCGGCTTGTCACAGCGGGACACAATGGGACTCGACCGGTCCCAGCGGAACATATTGGGACTCAGCCGACTACCGCGGGATATAGTGGGATTCGAACTGGGACTCGGCCAGTCCCATTCCTATTGTGGGACCGGCTGAATCCCACTATGTCTCGCTGTAGTAAGCTGAATCCCGCTTTGTTCCGCTGTAATCGGCCGAGTCCCATTTTGTCCCGCTGGGACCGGCCGAATCCCACTATGTCCCGCTGGGACCGGCCGAGTCCCACTATGTCCCGCGGTAGTCAGCTGAGTCCCAATATGTCCCGCTGGGACCGGCCGAGTCCCAATGTGTCCCGCTATGACCGGCCGAATCCCATTGTGTCCCGCTGGGACCGGCCGAGTCCCACTATGTCCCGCGGTAGTCGGCTGAGTCCCAATATGTCCCGCGGTAGTCGGCTGAGTCCCACTTTAGTCCGCTGGGACCAGCCGAGTCCCATTGTGTCCCGCTGAGACAATTCGAGTCCCATTGTGTCCTGCTGGGACCGGCCGAGTCCCATTGTGTCCCGCTGTGACAAGCCGAGTCTCATTGTGTCCTGCTGGGACCGGCCGAGTCCCATTGTGTCCCGCTGAGACAAGTCGAGTCCCATTGTGTCCTGCTGGGACCGGCCGAGTCCCATTGTGCCCCCCCCGCTGAGACAAGTCCAGTCCTATTGTGTCCTGCTGGGACCGGCCGAGTCCCATTGTGTCCCGCTGGGACCGGCCGAGTCCCACTATGTCCCGCGGTAGTCGGCTGAGTCCCAATATGTCCCGCTGGGACCGGCCGAGTCCCATTGTGTCCCGCTGTGACCGGCCGAATCCCATTGTGTCCCGCTGGGACCGGCCGAGTCCCACTATATCCCGCGGTAGTCGGCTGAGTCCCAATATGTCCCGCTGGGACCGGCCGAGTCCCATTGTGTCCCGCTGTGACAAGCCGAGTCTCATTGTGTCCTGCTGGGACCGGCCGAGTCCCATTGTGTCCCGCTGTGACAAGCCGAGTCTCATTGTGTCCTGCTGGGACCGGCCGAGTCCCATTGTGTCCCGCTGTGACCGGCCGAATCCTATTGTGTCCCGCTGGGACCGGCCGAGTCCCATTGTGTCCCGCTGTGACCGGCCGAATCCTATTGTGTCCCGCTGGGACCGGCCGAGTCCCACTATGTCCCGCGGTAGTCGGCTGAGTCCCAATATGTCCCGCTGGAACCGGCCGAGTCCCATTTTGTCCTCCCTGAACCGTTCTAGAGACTTTTTCATACTCCAATGACGTCATATAATTTAGCAGTGCTACCATATCTATGTCAATATACTTACAATACACCTACCTTGACTGTTTACGCCGCCGAAGCTATCGGTGACGCCTGCGCTACCGTTACCGACCCATATGGGTCCAGACCGGTTCCTGGAAATTTTCTGACGGGTCCAACCGGGTCCTACCATAAACTGTACATCTTGCACACTACACATTATTGCAAAATATGAAGTGAACGTTTCTTGGCACACAGTAGCTCATGAGTACTCCCAGTGGGAAATAGGCTGCTTTACATGTTGCTACTAATGATACCTACAAGTAGTTTGTATCAATTGACTTTTGGGGAACCGGGTCCAACTGGTTCCGATTCCAACTAAGGCCGGGTCCGATTGGTTCCAGAAATATCCAGCCGGGTCTGGTTCGAGTCTGGTTCCCAAAATTTTCATCTTTTGCCACCTCTACCCCAAATATCCCGTTTTATTTACGCGCGCGCGCTCTCCCCTGCAAATTAGTCCGAAATTGAGACTATGGCGCCATATTTGGCTTTCTTCTAAAACGAACAACGTAACTAAATCAACAGCGTCTGACAATACCTTACAGGGTGTCCCGTAATTACCCGGACATTGTTAATTAGCGTATAAAATAAGGCAAACATGATTGCGTTTTTTTCTTTTTACCGTCCTATATAGTCAACTAGGGTGGCTGTGAAATAGCACATGCAATAGATACGCTTGTTACAAGATCAGCCGACAATGATGGAAAATGCCAGCCATTGCTGGTCTCAGTTATTTTACGGGTCTCCCGAAACTGGGTGTAGGCCTGTTTTCTTTGCTCTCTTGCCGGAGGATAATACGATCATATAAGATAAACTTGACATCAAAGTGTTCCCAGGCCATAAGGTATTATCCCCCAAAACAAAAATTTCTGCCTCCGCCACTTTTGCTGCGTTTTTTTTTTTTTTTTACATCTGGAGTGGAGAAGCTCCATGTCTGAACATTGCACAACCTTTGGCTTCCAACAGATTTGGTTTCCAAAACAAACCCGTTCATGGCCATTTGGTTCACGGCATCCAGTTTTCGCACTGGTAGAATATTACCGCAGTAGTACTCTGTGCTAACGGTTGTCTTTGGGCCATCATATCAAGCCCAATGAGTGCACGGTGGCTCAAAATGTCTCACAATTTGATTTTCGACGGGTGCCTGGCCGCCTCTGCTGTTGGGGCGTTGTAGCCATCGGACGTTCACACACGCCTTTTTCGGGCGGTTCAAATGACATAATACCTTCGTTAGACCACAAAGTGTGCTTCAATATACTGTTTTGTTGTATATGTGATGTTTTTGGGATTAATTGTAGTGATTTGCACTGCCTTTCCCGTAGTTTTCGCATATTTTTCTGGCGAAGGACCCCAAATTCCAAAATTTTGTCGAAGATAGTGGTGCAAAGTAGACTAATGTTTTGTAGATAATCCTGATCTATTGTTTAGCTAGTTTTTAGCTAGATCGGTGACGTTTGTTATCTATCACAAGCAACCACTTGCTTGACAACTGGTGCATGACCCTTTATGGCCGAGCCCAAGCTTGTCAATCAGGTTTATCTCTTGCTCTCTCTGGCTTCGTTAGCTGATATAATTGCGCTTTGCTCAATCCTAACTGCTTGCAGATCAAGGCCATCTATAGAAGGTACAGTCACTCCCCCGCCGACCAATCAGAGACAGATCCTGAGTGACGTCACCCCTGATGCTCGCAAGGGGTACTCCATTCCTTTACAACGTAAAAATGACTAACTTCATTTCAAGATTATTGATGGCACTCTACACATACCGCTCAACCGTTGATGGCAATCGAAAGCTCAGCTAATTTTCCAGCGACAAAAAAGAGTAGCAATATGCTAAGAAATGGCCGGTTTTTAAGATATAGACGATTTAAAAACCCTCTGCAGCAGCAGGAAAGCAACGTAAAAACGCATCGAGCTTATATTTTTACTATGAATAAATCATTTTTCAGTTAGTTTTTAGATGTCGTATAGATTTAAGCTACAACTTTATTACAATATTTTCATTACTTGGAACTTTATTTCAAAAAAGTATTTTCAAAAAAACAGGACGCGTGTATATCACACCACGGTGAGATTTACATAATGCATCGCACTGTAGTGTAAACCTCACCCGGGTGTGATTTACACAATACACTACTCCTGTGTATATCACACCAGGCGGAGTGTGATTTACACAGTGGGCCGGCAATGCGTAAATCACACCGGGGTGTGATATACACAATGTGCTCCTAGTGTGTAAATCACACCCGGGTGTCAGACCACGCAGCACCTGGGTGTGATTTACACAGTAGGCCCGGCAAATGCGTAAATCACACCGTGGTGTGATATACACAATGTGCTCCTAGTGTGTAAATCACACCTGGGTGTCAAACCACGCAGCACCTGGGTGTGATTTACACAGTAGGCCTAGCCAATGTGTAAATCTCACCAGGGTGTGATATACACTGTGTGCTCGGTAGTGGGTAAATCACACCTGGGTGTCAAACCACGCAGCACCTGGGTGAGATTTACACAGTAGGCACGGTAACAAGACACTTAATCAAACCTTAGACCTGACCTGACCTAACCTAACCTAACCTAACCTAACTTAACCTAACCTAACCTAACCTAACCTAACCTAACCTAACCTAACCTAACCTAACCTAACCTAACCTAACCTAACCTAACCTAACCTAACCTGACCTACTGATTTTTGCCTACCCGTGGATGAGGAAGAAGTTACTCGCATGAAGAGATTGCAAGCAATGGTAAGTCAAATATTTTTAGGTTAAGTGGTTGTGCATCAGGCTTCAGGCCTTCGGCCTGAAGCCAGATACACAACCACTTAACCTAAAAATATTTGACTTACCATTGCCTGTAATCTCTCCTAAGGCATTGCCTTCGGCACTGCACCGCTTCGCCACGAGCATTCAGACGTCGCTTTCCATATTGTATTGGTGCTTTTAAACTTGTCGGTCGGCAGCGAACCCACCGCTACCAAGGAAAAGCGAAAATGCGGGAAAAAGCGCCCGCGCCGACGGGACTCGAACCCGCAACATTCGTATCATTGTGCAAGCACCTTCACCACTAGGCCAGGCGGTCAGCTGATTCCGAGAGAGAGGACGCCCGGAATCCCGCCGGAATATTCGTAGTGCTTAGTCTGATCTGACCAATGGGCGAGCAGAGTCACTGCTCTGACCAATGGACGTTCAGCGTTGCTATGACGTCACATCGTGGTGAGATATACACACAGCTGCCCTCTCTGTGTATTCCTCACCCGGGTGTGATTTACACTACGTAGTAGATTTTGTGTATATCACACCGGGGTGGGTGTGATTTACACAAATGGCCGGTAATGTGTAAATCTCACCGTGGTGTGATATACACGGTCCCTTTCAAAAATGGCAGCTGTTGGTAAGTAGCTTGGGAGCGATTGTGGCGCACCGCGCTATTAATTGTCCTGAGGCCCCCTTATGATGTCATCAAAAGTGGAGTGACATGGGCCTGTTGCAGATGAGCTGCTGAAGCTCTCCAGCAAAAACCATGCCGAAAGTTCGTTTACAAAGTTGAGAACGGGAGTTGATTCATCATGGTTGCCTATTAGTGGCTTAAGCTGAAAACGGAAAAGGACTACTCTTACATACTTGGCTCTGGATAATAATTGATTCGAGTCGTTACCGGCCACCAAAAGCACACAGTCCCCAATCTCGATAGCTAAGGGATATCTTATAAAAGTATGATGCTTGTATATCATTAGAAACGAGCGCAGTCGTACTTTTAGCCAGAAAATAAATGTCCGGGTAATTCTGGGACACCCTGTACATTTTTCTTTGTACCTTACATGTATTTTTCTTTGTAAGTCACGAAATCATGTTGCATTAGCATGTTGTTATATAGAATGATGATTATGCAATTTACGAAGAATGGATATTTTTTTTTCTTAATCTGATATGCAATTTTATGGGGGGGGGAGGGAAGTGTAAAGCACGCAAAACACCAATCGCGTTTATAGACTTCATTGCCTTGCGTCACCCTTCAGATTTTATATAACTCTTTCCAAAATTGCCGTCCTGTGTGAAAGATTCGTTATCATGCAAACGTTGACACGTTTCGGCCCATTGTCAGCACATTTCAGGAAGATCAGCTCCGTTCCGTTGTCTGTTGATACACAAATTTTGAGGTTGCTCAGTCAGTTGATGTCGTTGAAGCATTTTTAAATTTTTAAACTCTGTATAGCGCAATAAAACCCATGCGAAACGCTTGCTGTCACCCAGGTGAATATATTTGGAGCCGGTCACACACACAAGCCGACCGAAAATGCATCCGAGGTGCAGGCGCGGCGGCGGCGACCGTCGGCTGCTACGCTCTCACCGCGTCTCCGGAGTTGCGCCGGCTACCGAAGCAGCGATTTATTGTCTACGGTAGCGTTATACACCATCTGGCTGGCGGGCGGGCGCGCCGCCGCACGCGGCTCCGTCACGCCTACTGTCGTCTCATAAATACAGATTATATACCATAAACCCCGTAGCCTAGAGGAATGCCGCCGGCGCCAGCCGGCACATTCCGTCATCACAATCACCGATAGTTTCTATGGGACTGGGCCAGCCGGCCGGCCGGCCTATTGACATCACAATCGCCCCGGTCCGCAGCGCAGTCACAGTCCAACTCCGAGTTCGCCGCCATCACTGAGTGACGGCGACAGTCAGCCCTGAATACAGACCAGTCCGCCTCAGTCACTGTCCGGAACAGACCAGTCCGCCTCAGTCACTGTCCTGAACAGATCAGTCCGCCTTCGTCACTGTCCTGAACAGACCAGTCCGCGTCAGTCACCGCCGTGTGCCGTACTGCGTCTGACTTTCCGCTGTCAGCGACCTCATCGTCCATCAGCGGGCTTCCTCCGTCAAACTGCGGTACATGGGTAATGGGTACTCTGCGTCTGCCTCTGTGTGCATATCCTGTCTCTTGTCTCTAAATTTCAGTCAGTCTGTCTGAGCATCTTACGTCAGTCTTCAGTCAGTCTGTCTTCCCTGGTCAGTCAGCCATTCTGTCCTTCCCTAAGTCAGTGTGTCTCTCTTTCAGCGTCTGTCTGTCCCTCCCCCTCAGTCTCTATCCCATTCTCCGTCGCCAGGAGCCGCATCCCTCCCGGGCCTCTCTCTATCGCGGGCCTCCTCCCGACCACTGACACGGTAATCGGGTCGGCCGCACGCCACATCACACCGGAATCGGGCTAGCCTCACTCAATAACAGACCGTATACTGGGGGCGGGCGCGGCCCGCGTCCGGCCGCCACTGTCTGCAGCGCGGCGCGGCGGGCCGTCGCCGGCGGCGGCCGTCCCGACACGGGACGCCGACCGTCGGCGGGCCCGCGCCGCCGCGACTGACGCCGCCACTGCTGAGCACTCACCGACACCGCAGAAAGACAGGCCGGCGACGGCGGCGACGGGCCATCACAACTCACACGGCCGCGGCGGCCGCCTAGAAAATGTCCGGGCAGCGCGACCAGTCCTGTTTCTCGCGGGCCGTCCAGTACTCGCCCGTGTATATGTGCACGTACTGGCTGGTGTACGGGTCGTGGTCCTTGCGGAACCAGATCGGCTGGTGGCCCGTGTACTCGACACCTGCAAAGGGAGAAAAACAAATATATCAGCTGCACTGCAGCTGCGAAAATTAAATCACATTTTGCTAAGTCACAGATAAAGTCTGAAAACGATTGCTTCTTATTGAACATACATGTAAAATGATAAGTGTTTAATGAGCATTACGAAACCGGAATGTCTGATTGCACCCGCCCCTACAGCCCGAACAAACCAATTTTTCCATGTGAAATTATTATCCTGTGAGATTTATGCATAATGAAGCCATAATACACAACGGTGACGACAATGATGCACCGGTTCTGAGGGGTCCCCAGCTGCTCACCCCGCACTGCCTAGTGCCTACTCACCTTCCTCTGCTGCCGCCTCGGCCTCGGCCTCCCGCTTCCGTCGGACGGCCCTCTGCTTCTCCTCCAGTCTGCGGGCAATATCACAGGTCAGATGTCGGGAAGATCAAGGATGCAGGTCAGATATCGGGGATACATAACCATCACATCGAGATACCAATCTTAGCCATCTCACCGAGAGTCAAGAACAGTTAAGTTTCAACTAGCAATAAGAGCATCGCGGACGAACCTAATCGATTACTGTACGACCACTGCGAAATAAGAGTACCTGCATCGATTTATGACCCTGACTTTTCCAGTCCCATAAGTCGAAAAAGCGAACTGAGTATGAAAGCAAGAAATATAACCCACGAAATGGCTATGTAACGATATAAATGCATGAGCATATCAACTGATGCCAAAACATACATAGGCCAAATAACCCTCTCTCGATTTTATATCCACATATCCAGAATTCCCATCCCGTCAACTCCATCTCCACTCAGTCCGGCGGTGGACCTCACCTGACTTTCTCGTCGTTGGCCTCGTCCCACTTGCCCTCCTCCATGAGCCGCTGGTCGGGCCGCAGCCGGGAGTCGGTCGGCGCCACGCCCTCCTCCGGCTCGTTCAGCTCGATCGCCAGCTGACTGAAGTTGTAGATCTTCTCACCGTCCTCTCTGTGACACAGACAGGTGAAGTGAGATGTCGTGACGGACAGATACAGCGGCGTTCGGCGGAGAGGGGTGGTAGGAGGAACAGAAAGATGCCGGTAACACACGCAGTGCTGTGGTCAGCGAGCGAAACAGTTCGGAGGTGCAGATAATTGTGGCAGGTGTTCTCCGTTTGGAGGACTTTAATTGGAGGGTGGCTTTTAAGTGAAATTCCAAAGTAAAACGAACCGCGCAAAATGGCACCACACATTCATTATTCATGCGTCATGGTCAACAATAAAAATGAACCTAAAATATCCGGAGATACAGTAACAGAAGTGAACACTGACCATCATTCGAAAACGGTTGGCAATCTACGAAAGGCGGAGCGGCGACTCACGGGACGGGGTTGGCCTTCCAGAGCAGTCTCGGCGGGCCCGTCTCGATGACCGGTTTACCCTTGACCGAGGTATTGGAGTTGAGCACCTTGCAGCACTCCATCTTGGAGTCCCAGGTGCCCATCAGGACCCACCGCACCTGGCCCATCGGGTCCGTCACGCAGCCCGTCACCTGCCGAACAAAGGAGCACACGTAATTAGCAGATGATCAACAAACAAAATTCCTCCGGTAATGCACCTTGCATTTCAGCATGTGCGGAAAATGCAACCTGTTCATTCGAGTAAACTCTCGGCACAACATAACTTTACCCAGCCCCACAAAAAACAAAGCACCACAGAACAATGCGACAAAGACTCTTGATTGATGTAAAGTCAACGAGTCAAGCCAGCCGCTTCGATCGTCGTCTCACCTTCCTGAGCACGTCGCGGGAGAAGTAGCTGTACGGGACGTACTTCAGGTTGCACTTGTCGCCCGTCTTGTGGTTGGTGATCTCCATGTCACCGTGCTGGTCCACCCACAGTCGGCCCACGATGATGTTGTGTACCGTCGTGGTTACCTTTCGCCACGTGAAGTGGTTGCCTGGGGATGCGCGAGCGGCCGTACGGTCAGAGCCGGTGGCAGGTATGTCCTTGGACAGCTTACGGTACCTAGATGATATCCTCCAACATGAGCCGCCATTAGAAAACACTGTCGACGTAAAACGACGAAAGCAACCGACGTAGGCATTCAAGTTTCTAGCTCACGCTCGGGCTCCTACAGTATAGTCCCATTATCTCCAAAGGCACCTGCTATCTATAATGGAGAAAGCAGACCTACGGCGAATTTCATTTTCCCTGGTCTCACGCAGCTAGTTAACGTTTATTTCGACGATCAGGCTCCTCGGGCCGGGCATTAGGAAAGCAGAGGCACGCAAAACGACTACCCGTCTATCTTAGCCCTTACGGTGAAGTAAAGAACCACCCGAAACGAGGGCTCACCTGTCTTTGGGAAATACAGGTGTAAGATGAGTACTCACCTGTCTTTGGGAAGTGGAGGTGTGAGATGCCGAGCGGGATCACCTGCAGGTACTTGCCGCGGAACTTGCTCGACATGGTGAACTCTTGGTAGCACTCCCAGCCGGCGTCGCCCTCGCAGTGTTGCGCCACCATCGGCGGGTGATGAGACACCTGGCGGACAAGAAACCAAACAGTCATTCAGCTGTAGATACTAACAGGCTTGTACCGCCCGCCACCACACTGCCTAATAGCGCTCATATCTCCGGACATAAGCCATGTCCTGGTAGCGATATTGCTCCCTGTCTGAAGTAGCTGCCTTCATGTGTAAGTACTACCCAATCGTCAGCCATACAGCCGGGCGGTAGACGCACCGGCACTGTCATCTCGTCAGTCACATATACCACCCGGTTCCCTCAATGTATTTCAATGTCATCATCAGGACAGTCATATCCCTCTCCTCCGCGCCACACACCCCCTGGTCCGGGTTGGACGGGCACCTTAATTCGACTGGAGTGACTATTTAGGGGCATGTTCACGTGCGGGAGCGGTGGGTAGCCGTTTGGGGGGGGGGGGGGGGCTGGGTGGCCTGTCCATCATGACGAGCTCAGCCCTGGCGGAGCACCAGGGTGGCCACCCAGACCAACGTCTCCCCGTAATTCCCATAACAATCAGCATTCTGGCTCTGGAAGGTCTCGCTAGACCAAAGGGCCTAAACCCACAAAACAAGCAAACAATCACCGAGGCCCTGTGAACGCGAATCGCAACAGCGAGTCCCGACAAACCCCCGAGGCCAGTACCAGGACTAAGGGTACGGAATCAGAGACGACTAGGGGCAATAAATCAGAGACGGTTGTAGCTGAATAAATGCTACTCGTACTACTCGACGGCTTGACATTTCATTGCCGACTCAGCTGGGAGACCCTGAACATCGGAAAATTAACTTATAATCAACGTGAAAAACGATAATTAACAGATATTTGAGATTGTAGATGAAACTAGCGACGAACAAACGTCAAACAGTGTCCAAACGCGCCAACAACGGATGCCAAACACCAATCAATCTTATGACAGAGCTATGAAGCCAGGAGTGTGAAACGAAACGAAGACTGTTGTCGCAAGCTGAGTGTAAAATAGTCATAATTTCATCAGTGATAAATACACGCCACAAATCTAGCAGAGAAACCCCGAACAGCCCATGCAATTATGTGGTCTATAAGGCGTTACACTTCGCTGCCTACTCCGCCAAGAACTTCGTACTAGACATCTTTCCCGTTTTCCTTGATTACGGAGCGAGCGAAGCGAGCGGAGTCTCATACTGAATTAAGGGAAAATCCTGAGTATGAGCGGCCGGCCGGCCGTGGGGACGCTCTTCAAAAGCTAATATCTTAGGAACGGGACATCCGATTGACAAGCGGTCTTCTTTACTGAATGTCACTTGGACGTAAAAGTTCTGTGGTGTGATGGCCACCATGCGTTCTTGCCAACCACCGCACGTGGCGCGTGGTAAAGTTGGACATTTTTTAAGAACCCCCAAAATTGCAACCTCAATAACGGCACAACGGCTGGGCCGATTGAATTGAAACTCGGTACACAGTTAGGTCTCCATCAGATAATTCATCTGCATGTGTTAAGGTTGGGGTGCTGCTGCACGTGCGCACGTGCAGGGGTCGTTTCCAGATCTCGAGAACGGCTGGACCGATGGCGCTCAAATTTGGTACACGGTTAGGGACCAGTTAGTAGGGTGCCGTGCACAAGTCAGTTGGGACCCATTTTGCACGTGCGCACGTGCAGGGTGCCGCTTCCAGATCTCGAGAACGGCTGGGCCGATTGTGCTCAAATTTGGCACATCGCTAGAGACCGGTTAGTAGGGTGCCGTGCACAAGTCAGTTGGAGGTACCCCCTCGAAATTTCGCACGTGCAAGGCTAACCCTCTCGCTCGCTCCGTTAGTCGCCCCATAAGGCGTTATACTGGTAACTAATTTATAGCTAGCTCGTTAAATAAGAGAATGCTTCGAAAGCATGTCAGCATCCTTACGATGCAATCGGTTTCAACAAGCATGGCAGCTCCTCATCCAATCAAGACGCTGTCAAATGCTTCTGATGACATGTGAGCGCACCATGAAAGTTCACACAGAAAGCAGCGTCGTCTTTTCTTTGAGCGCAGCTTCTTACCGGATGAATTGGAAAACGACAGTGCATCAATTTCGCCGGGCGGGGCTGTCTGGCGGTGGGAACCGGCGGTGGCGTTTCACGTCAGCCCACACCGGGATAGGTTGTCTCCTCTCAGCAGAGCTGGCCTCAGAGCAGCGGCGTGCGGTCCGAGGGTGGAACCACGCGGTTCGGGGAGGAAACCCTGCGGTCCGGTGGCGGGAGCCCTGCGGTCCGATGGCGGGAGACGCGGTTACACGGGAGATGGGAGGGTGGCTGCCGCTGCACAAGTCACCCACGACGGCTGGAGTCCATGTCAAATCACCATCAGAAATCTGACACGTCACCTGGCCAGCCGCTGCGTTCCATACTATATCGGTAATCGGTGGCAGGCCATTGGACACGGCAGAGAGGACAATGCAATGTGAGGCAATGCAATGTGAAAGGCAAGATACTAACACACCTCGTAGATTCTCATTTTCTGAATGAAAGAGCCGGGAACTGTTGGGAGGCGAGTCTGAAAGTGAGGATGACGTGCGGCACCAAGGGTTGTCATACTTGCTCATATTTGAAAACATAATTTATAAGATACTTCTTGAAAAACGCAAACAAGTTAAAAACTGTCTTTGCCTGAAAGAAGAGCATTGAAACATTTTTATCAGGGAGCCGCCCTTCTCACAAATAAAGAGTTTCGTTGGCCTGGCCCCTTTCTTTTCATGGCGTCTATACACGCCTAAGCAATATTCCTCGCATCCTAGACAACCCAGGGAAAGTGATTTATCGCCCTGGGACATAAAACATCCAGCGCTGTTCCTCCATTGAACCACCATAGTATCATTCCTCCTTTGAACCACCACAATCACCTTTCATTGACGGCAATCAAACCCGGAGAAACAGCCCGCTGTGGAGGGTGCCATGAGTCATCTCGATCCACTGTCTTACGATCACTCTCTCCTTTCTGAATTATTCGCACGTGACTCTGTTGTGAGTAGCTTATTCGAGCAGCTGGCACGCGGTGTGGTTGCCGCCTTTCTGTCCTCGGCGCGGCCTTATGGTCACGACAACGCCCCGCGCTCTCGGTTCGGCTTTCTCGGGATGACCTATGGACAGGGCCATGACTGGAGACGATGCAGATGGCTCGCTGCGCGGCCGATCACCAGGCGGTGGAAAGCCGGGGGCCAAACGGCACGTGGTCGAGCAATTAACAGCCACCGGTGTCGGGAGGCCACCAGAAGATGCCACAACGGTATCTCACATGATTGCGACTTTCCTCTGGTAGTGGTATAACGAGAAGAAAATGATGACCTGCTGTGGCCTTTAGGAGACGATCACGATCCCTTCCATTGCATGGGTGAAATACGACCAAGGAAAAGTAGGTACGCGTGTAATGAAACGCGAATAAAACACCACTAAGCACAACTGTGAAATTGTGTAGCCTGGAGTCTGGACACAAAGCAAGAGCGTGGGCGAAAACAACAGCTAAGTTTCAAAACTTAAAAAAGTAAGGAAGATGAAAATTCTTACCGTGCTAAGGATTAGGTAAGATGTGAAGAAAAGCAACACCTTGAAATGTAAAGATGATCAGTAGGGTTGTTAAAAAAACCGAATTTTGGAAAAGTATATGGGCTCATGGCTCATGTGGTGCGGTATTCTTTTCTGAGTCCAATGATACCCTTTTTTCCGAAAAGTATTACTGCTAGGCGCTGCTCAAACGGCTTAAAGAGGACCATGTTACGCCCGCCGACCGGCCGGTGTCAATAAGGGCGAGAATTCGACGCCGCACGGCGGCGGCAGCGCCTTATCGGCACCGCGCGCCACGACATCTGCCGGGCGGCCGGCTGGGCGGTGGGAAGTTATAAGTGCGTGGTCTTATTGCACACGATCGGGGTGAGCTATCCCATGTTTTCGGGGCGGAAAGTTTCAGTGCAGCATCGGTGCGTCTGCCACGGTGGTCTGTGTCGATGGTATAGAAAATAACTCAAGCAGAGCTCAGAAAAGAATGAATGATTCCGGGTAGTTGCCTCGAAATAATCCGTTTCAAGAATACAGCTGCCTTCTTAACGTACTGTATCACTTGTTAATTCTTCAAAAAGCAAACTCTGAGCAATAACAGACTTCTTTGCATTGCTGTTGACAATTTAAGTTGCTTTTGGACGGTGGCTCGCAGCCCCAATATGCTGCCGCGCCCGCGTAACTCTATTCCAACGACGAAACGGCAACTTAGCGAGAATCGAAAATTTAACGAAGTAGGTACAACAGGAGCTGGCAAGGCTCCTGCATTGGTCTATCCGTCATGAGTGACACACCGGGGTAATGTGTCACGTCAGGGCAGAGCTGTGTTCTATGCCGGGTCTGGATTCGGGTCTTGATCGGCATCGGTGGGCACGGCCGCCCTGGCCGGACTGCCGGCGTCGCTTATGCTCGAAGGATTGGATAAACGGCGCTTGATTTATATGAGTAGGTACTCCGGCTCACTCCGGCTAATGTCTCTACTCATGTCTTACTTCGTCACACTGTCAGGGTGGCCACTCTGTCATTCCCAGACATGTTATGTTTTCTTTCGACCCGCTAATCTAAGTTACACCTGGCGTCGATTCTGTTGCCCCAGCATCTGACATCAACGTATCTGAATAATGGCATTGGTGACGCATATGCTCGTCAAAGCCACCCCCAAACTTGGGCCGATGACTGTCGGGTCTCCTCCATATTCTGTCCTTGTGCATACTGCATTGCCAGCCCCTGCTGTACGTATATCGTGAATTTTCGATTCTCGCGAAGTTGCCGTTTCGCCGTTGGAATAAAGTTGCGCGGCAGCATATTGGGGGTGCGAGCCACCGTCAAAAACTAACGTAAATTGTCAACAGCAACGCAAAGAGGTGTGTTATTGCTCAGAGTTTGCTTTTTGAAGAATTAACAAGTGATACGGTACGTAAAGAAGGCAGCTGTATTCTTGAAACGGATTGTTTCGAGGCAACTACCCGGAATCATTCATTCTTTTCTGAGCTCTGCTTGAGTTATTTTCT